GTCTCACCCCCATAAAAAGTTATGGGGGTTCAAAGTTAATAAATATGCCAATTTTTATACATTTCTAGGCATGTAAATATTTATATAGTCATTCATAAACAATATTCAAAGGTAAAACTAATGGAAAAATACATAAAAATATTGAGAAAGTTATATAAAACATTATGTAAATATCTTTATCAATAGGGTAGGTTAGGTTAGGTTATCGGGTTTTGTTCAAGTGACCACCCTCTTTCGATCCTCCACTTCCACCCGCTTGAAAATAATTATTTTATTGAATTTTAATTGAATTATAGTGTATGAAAATTGTCAAAATAATCCACCTTCAACCCCCATAACTTTTTATGAGGGTGAGACCGCCGCAAAATTTGTATGGGGTTTTACTCAGGTGACCACCTTCTTTCGATCTCCCCTACCCCCATCCTCTTCGGGGGTGCGGGGGGGCCATCATCTAGCCCCCATAATTTTTTATGGGGGTGAGACCGCCACGAAATTTTTATGGTACAGTGGTGGGGGAGACCTCCTCTTTCGATCCCACCCACTCCCACCGTCTTCGGGGGTGTGGGTCATCATCTAGACCTTTACCGAATTAGTTTGTGGAGATTTTAACTACTTGATGATTAGGGTCGTGAAGATTGTTGAAGTATTTGTAATAGAAAATGGAAAATATAAAACTATTCCTTAGTTCAAATACTAAGTATAGAATTGTCTAGAGAGACAACAGCCATATTATACAACACTACATACATAATTTACGTTAAGTAATTGATACTTTAGAAATTGCCATCTACTTTTGTATTAATAAACCTGTATGTAGTGACAACAGTTAACAGTGGTGTAACTATGGATGTTCCATGTGGTTCATGGAAAATAAGCCCACATGCGAGGGTGCTACTAAGGCTTGAGGGCATCGAATGTTTCCGGAAACAGACAGCAACTCTCCAAATGACATTTTGACGAATACAGTCAACATTATCACATTGAAAGTGATGAATATTTTTTTAGTCAAAGTCAGAGTATCATTATTCAATAATCGAACCCTTGATAATATGTCTATGCAGTACTTGTTTGAGAAATTCTGTGCACAACTTTAGAATCGTTTCCCTTGCATTTTGAAGAAATTTACCTGAGAATGAAATTTTCTATACCTTCCAGCTTTTCCATATCATTCGACAAACTTCCGACGCTTCTTAAATATCTGCAAAGATAAAAAATTAATTTTCCAAATTATCGAAATATTACGTTAGGTTACTAAAACTGGTGAAAAATAATTATCCATAATGTTTCCTTTTGTAAAAACAAGATTGTTTAAATTTTAACTCCGTTAGAAGCCTGTTGGGCTGTTGCCAGTGAAAGGGTTGTAACAATTGATTAGTTTAAAAATCGGTCAATCTACTGTAAGTGAAAGTTCGGCCGCACTACCTTAAATAGAATTATTTTATCATCATCTCTATTGATGATAAACATTTTTGCTGCAGCCGATCTACGATTGCGTGAATATATCATCCATCAATAATCCCACAACAACCCAGCCAAAAGTAAGGAACAATTCAGTCGACGAAAAATATTACAAGTGCCCATCTCCTGATAATAATTTTGAAATAGAATCCACCATGACTGATCAGGCAGAAAAAACAACAAGATTTTAATTAGTTACCTACATAAAATAAACCTAAAAAAATAAAAATACTGTGGCAAAGCAAACACCATAGAATCTTTGGAATGTTAATTTGCAATAAGACCCCGAGATAAAAATGTTCAGTCTCTGAGAGTCTCTGAAAGCGAGACTCGAGTCTTCGTCTCTCATCGAGTCTCTCTGGTGTCGCTGAGAGAGACTGTCAAAAAAACTGTTTAGCGTCTCTGAACGAAAGACTCGAATCTCTCAATAAGTGCTGTCTCGATAGATATGGTTAAAATTTTTCTAAGTTCAACATATTTCAGAGATCCCAGTCTTTCTACGAGAGACTCGAATCTCTCAATTTTTCAGTTTTATTCATTGGGCCTCTCTGTGAAAGACTCGAATCTCTGAATTAACAATTCTTTCGTTCGTCTCTCATATAGAGACTGTAAGAGATTCATAACACACCTAGGCAATAACTGAGAGACTGTGAGTGACGCTCTGAGACGCTGTAAGACTCTGAGAGACTGGAGAGACTAAAAATTTTTGTCTAGGGACTTGTTTACATCCTCGTTTATTTTATAATCTTTTGACTCAAAAAGTTTAAAAAATATATTTATTTACTAACACTACAATTGTTTCGCTAGTTTTTAACCAAATTTTTATCTAAAGAAGTCGAAAAATTAGCATTAGCAAAACAATTATTATGCAGTACATATCGTACTTCTTGAATTTTATATGTTTTTATTTTATTTAATTATGCACCAATTTTAATAAGTCAGGGCTTCAACAATCGACAATATTTTGACTTACAGCTGAAAGGTCGCAGTTAAGGACAAAAATTTCACATATTCAAATGAATTTCTACCACAGATAATTAATTCAGGTTATAACTAAGTATATTTTCTAAACGAAGATACTTTTAAGAATTCATATGTATAGCGTCTATAAAATAATAAAAAATTACGATTACAGACACTTCAATAGTGTTCATAACTTTTTACAATAAACTTTACTTATTTTTTAAAATTTCGTTTCAAGTATTGTTTGTTTAGAACTGTAGCTGTAAGTGATAAAACATATTTATTCTAATATAACGAATTGACTGAAAATTGAACTATAGACTTGTGTGTATGTGTACCTAATTAATTTAATATATTATGCATAAAGTGTGCTATATTGTATTCAATTGTACTGACTTGAAATAAATAAGTATCTGAATAAGAGAAAGTTAAATTTTGCAAGATCCATAAGCAATAAAGCGTAACTTCCTTCCAAAACTTTAACTGGTATTAATTGAACTTATTTTATTATTTATATGAAAAAATGGCTAAAGGTATATTTGCACTAATTTTCCTCTGTCATGTCATATTTTTCAAAAAATGATGTCGCACTTTGATGAAGATACAGGGGACAAAGAAGGTTAGAAATAATATGTGTTATTTTCAAAAAGAAACCTTACCCTTTGCTTTTTATTTATGTATCTGTAGGACTGTTTTTGTGTTAAAATCTATCCAATAGAACTGGTATAAGTAATCTTTAGTTGTGCGATCCCAGTGTTCTTTATTTAACAAAAAGTTATAATTTTACACACGTACGTTATAATTAATTCTCTTTCCTTTCTAGTGTTAATTCTATTACTAAACAAACAGACCAAACATTACAAAATCCTATTTTACCCTCTTTTTTCTCACCTACTCCCTACCCTATACTCTACTCTGCCTTCCTATCCCTTAAAAATTTCTTAATCAGTTTAGCCCACCCCAATCCTTCTTTACCATCTCGCAGCATTCTTCCCACCTCCTCCCATTCTCACATTCTCCTGACAGATACTTCAACATCCCTTTCTCCCTTTCACATATTCTGCATCATCTTTCTTCTTATTTTTTCCAATATCTACAACCTCTACACTCATTCCCTGTCCTAAATCTTCCCATTACACTTATTTCCTTCCCTCTTTCTAAATACCTTGGCACCCAATCTCCCTGCCAGTCCCTCCATAAGGGAAAATAAGCTGAAGGTAGGAATGAGTGGAGGTGCATGACCAACCAATCTTAGAAGACTGACGAATCCATGATAATGATAATAATCTAACTCTAATTAACTAACGAAACTGCCAAGATATTTAGAGCAAAAAGTAACATCAGTCAAAAGCTTTAAATTGCATTTACTGAACTTTGTTATTAAATTGTATGAAAAGATGACTATAACTAAAAGTATATGTTCGAATCGTTCTCTACCATGTTAAATTTTTAAAAGATGAGGCCGTTTTTTGATGTTTGCATGAATATGAATACCTTACATGTCCTTAAAGCTTTCTATACTTCCTTTAGTTTAACCCTAGCGCGTATGTATGTACATATGGAATTTTAAAGTGTTTCTCTGGGCCGGAGTGATAAGGTCAGAATGAATAAGGAAAGCAGCGATTCGGTAAATTTCCCATTTCAAACTCATTTCATCGGGGTAATGATGTCTCGCCACATGACTAAAATCGTCTATTGCTTCGAATTACAACAGATGTGTCTCACCCTTCAAAGGTACAGTACATTAGTACGTTAGTGCTTCACAGTATGTACACATTTCTTGAAAAAGTTAAATATTCCAATGCTACGATACTGTTCGTCGTCTATTTTTCGTTTTTGTTAGATAACATGCTATTAACTGTTGTGGGTAAGTACATAGATACTTTTACTTATTTGTCACTGAAACAAAATAATGCACCATTCAAATTTTACATTTGCCTTTGACTTTTTTTGACTTTTAACACTAATAAAACGATATCTATCATTCTATATAAGAGATGAAAATATTGTTCCAATACTTTTTTGTAATTTCTTCTTCAAAAAATCGAAAATTTTGTGATGATCCAAAAATAAGTATTGAAAAATAAGCATGCACTAAAATAATGCAAAAAACACACGTAAATGAGCTGTGGAAATATACTTAATAAAACCCCAAATGGGATTTTGGGTTTTAGTATTTTATTTCCCTACATCCTAGATAGAGAAAAATGTGATTATTATCCTCCGCTGAAATTCGCTTATAATGACTCCGTAACTATCGGGTTGTTCGGAAAGTCATTTGGTTTTTTTTTTGTGGAAATGAAAGACAGTTTTCGTATAATAAACAAATACTTTATTAAATTATATATTGACCGTTCTGGTCCAACACCTTTTGCCATCTTTCTGGTAGTAGCATAATTCCACGCTCATAAAATTTTTGGTCTTT